AGGAGAGCCAGAAGCAAACAAAGGAAGCCGTGAAAGCGGTGTCAATACAGCGGGTGCGGCACCTGGGGAGGGTGCGTGGGACGTGAACCAATATGGCTATATGGGTGGAGATAACCAGAATAGGGGCGGTCCCGGACTTTTCGAAGGTGCGAGGAGGCAAATCATCGGTCCACGCCCACCACCTTAGGAGCTGAATCCCAAATTCTGTGTTTTTACTGAGTGTTATACGATTTTGATTACCCCAGCGATATATACAGCACGTTTCACCACTATAAAAAATTTTCTTCTTGCAAATATTGACTAATTGACCCCACCCCCCTTTATTTTTCCTCTTTCCTTGTTCTTGAATGTTCTTGAAAGAGTTTTTCGAAAACGGCTTCATTGTAAATGTTTTGTTCTGTTTTATCTTCATCATAGTGCCACTTGTTCGGGTATATTTCTATCTAGCACTGGACCCTCGATATTTATGCATGTTTTCTTGACTTCAAATTTTTGTTTAAAAAAAGGTATGCTTTCATGTATCTATCATCTCTTTCCACCCCGCTTATAGCTTGTTATCTTTTCACCCCTAGATGATAGGACTGGCTGATTCTCATAATATGCAATTGTTGGTTAGTTTTGTGTTTATAAGTTAAATAATAAATAAGAGACTGAACAAAAAGAACGGATTTTTCAACCTTAACGCCATACAGTAGATTTGGACTGAACCCACACATGAGAACACAATCTGTTATTCGTCAGCCTGTCACTGCCATCATAATTCCCAACTGGAGAATCATACTCGAAAGACTTATGGCGCGGCACAGGATGCAAGAATCCCGGTTTTCCTTCAGATTTAATGAGTACAATGTACCCAGCGTCATGGGTCAGGGGTGGAGCTTGCAGGAAGATTGGATAAGAAAAAAAAAGATGTAATGAAGAGATTTATTCGCCTGAACACTGTAGTCTAAATCGTGACCACACATTACTCTGTTATAGATGCAGCTCAATAATCGTGTGATGTAGTCACAATTCATTCAAATCTAGCATTTTGAATTACAAGGCCTTTATTGAGCTTATAGCAGGTTTGTCTGAGACGGCTGTAAGGGCAAGAAAATTTGATAAGGAGATACTCCCAGTCACCGAGTGCTTGGTATGATGGATAAAGCTTTCCATTACTGTTGTTACGGTATTTAACATGCCTCTGAAGTTGTCTCTATTTTTTTATGGCAATGGCCACGGTGTGTTCTCGCTTTCTAGTAACCATAGCTCGTTGGTTTGAGAGGATAGTCCTCCATGGATAAGCAAGGCGGCAGAGGCTTTGTATTTCAACAGCCATGAGTGTCACCGTTCGTCATTGGGTCATTGCTAAGGCGGCTTAGCCTGTAATATGGGATATGTTCCGTTTACGTTGGATACGGGGTTGGTTAAAATATCTCAAGACGATTGACCGATTCGAGAAGTTCCTGCTCCACCTGTAGCCTTATTTACAGGAGTGAAAATTCCAGGAATTAGCCACAGACGCTAAAATCCGAAGTCAACTTGATTTAATGAAGCCCTAAAGCAAGAAATTGACGAGTAGTCACACTGCCCGCTCATGCTCTTCATATCTTCCAGGCAAACGACAAGAGAAAGATCAAAAAGGAATTTAAATGAGCTTTAATACAAATATGCAGGAGCAATCATCCATATTCTTTAATGAGTTTGGCTCGCAAACACGAACAACACTCTTCCGTTGAAGCAAGGCAAACAATATCACTTCACCAGTCGCTTCTAACAAAAATAACTCACCTATAACGTAATATTAATGCGGACCTGAAGCTCTGGCTGTCAAGGTGCAAGCATCACTGCGATGAGTTTCAAGCCATCTTTTGTTTCCATCATTGCGGAACTGATCAATTTATATGGACTCCACGTAAAACTTTAGCATCCGCGTTAAAAAAAGGGGCCAATTTACAGAGTCCACTTGTCGCAGTTCGCACGACTTTCGATCAACGTCAATATATTCCAAGCAAAAACAGCGTCCTTAGCATAACAAGAGGTTGGGTTTAACTCCTGCTCTATTTTTAAATCGGGCTAGCGCCTCAGATTGGAACCAGCCTTACCGTCCACCATATTGCTCCCATTTCCACGGCCACATTCGCTGTGCTAGCAAACGATCTCGCGGTCGAAATTTTTAGCTGCGTAAAAGCCGAAAGGATGCTATTTTGCTAGTTGGAATTGTGATCTTGATATCGCCATGCAGACAAGATAGTGAATCCATTGAGATGACTATGATTTGAAAAGTAAGTTGATTTACTCATATCTGTCCCGTTTGTTTTTCCAGTTTTTTTTTTTTTTTTTCTTCGTTAATTTGTTTGTCCGTGATATATTCTCTTTAAGTAACACTTCATTGGAGTTTTCCCTTTCAGAGGCCATGGTCAGGAGCAGCGGCCATCGACATTGAATTGGGCGTCTTGTAGATTGGAAGGAATTGATCTGGGTTTAATATAACTTCCAATCAACTGTGTCAAGCTCCCAGTGCCCCTCGATTACTCAAACTCCAATGGCTCCGAAGAAATTATGCTCCAATTGATTGCTCAAGATCGGCGCTACAAAAGAAGCCTGTCCTCTGGAGTGTATTATTTCCCCCGTTGGACCAGGTGGGTCTGGAGTCGAAGATGCTCCTATAAAGGCCACATTTGTAATACGTTAGTTTCAAGGACGATGTTTTGTGTTCCGCATCACGCAATTTGATCTAGGGTTCTTGGGGGTCAATACAATCTGATTGGATTTGATCCTCGGTATGACCTATTCGGTTTTCTTTTTGCTTTCCTTCATAGAGGCTGTTAACGCTCAAGTACTGGCACTGGCCGAAGTATACCCTTCTCGTGTGGTCTTAATTGGACTAAACCACCGTCAGCAGTAAATGCGAACCGCCGAAATGGTGTCGCACATCGAAATTTTCTAGCTATGTTCAACGTTGGGAGGGAGACTGGGACGACAGCACGTATGTGGCGGAGAAATGTTACGAAACACAAAACAGCAAAGGGAGCTTTCTCAGTACCACTTTTGTCTCCCGAGACATGGTGCGGATCGCTGTGCCTTCGCGAAGACGACAAGTTGTGGGGTACGATTGATTTAAATATTTCGGATTCTATTGGAGAAGTGATGAGTTAGCATGTACACAGGCTTTATATGGGGCATTTCTTGGTCAAGCATTTGCGGCAATGTTCCCTCAGCCTGTCGACTGTATGGTTCTTGACTTAGTCTTTGACGGCCAGGATTCCATGGAGGGCTTGTACGGCAATCTGGGTAAACCCCTCACCAACCTAGCTTACGAGACGTCATAGTTGGCTCCCAGCCTTGGAAAATACTGGAAAATTACTCACCTTTTTTTGAGCTGTATATCGGCAGGGCCAGATCTATGGGCCTTTGCAGACTTGAACGGTCCAGATAGAGCCCCTGAATGGTTACTTGCAGCTCTAGTTCTGCCACTGAATATCCCCTCGCCAACCCGCTCACTTTTCCGATTCTCATGCCATTTTTTGCAATCCTACCCCAGCAACAAAATTATTGACTACGATAAAGTCCTTTATCTTCACACGACTCTATCATCCGAGCTCGCAAGCCATGGGGGCATTTGAAATTTTATGTGCTGGAGGTGAGGAGGTAAGTAGTCATCTAGAAGATAAGTTGGCAGTTAGTGGACTGGAGGATGAGAATGACAGATCGTCGTTGGCGCGAATGCCGGAGTTTAACGCCTTGAATAGAGGTGGAGGCTTCGAGGAAACACCCCTGACATCTCCTACCTTCATTCGTGACTTTGGCTATTGAAGTCTACCACACCGGGTCGCTTATAGACTGGTTACTTTCTCATTGAAGTTTCATAGGAAATGGGCATTTAGTTGAGTAGGAAAGAAGAACTGAGTTAGATTATATTCTGCCTACTCTACTCTAGTTACATGGTATAAACCACCTCCACTGGATATCCATCGACCTACACTACCATGAATCCCAAAACAAGGCAATTAAACTCAGCGTTCGCTACAAGCACACTCTCCTTAAAAGCTCAGAGTTCTATTCTACCATTGTGCAAGCCTCCAGTGACGGCTATATCTGCCCCTGTGGTGTACGAAGCCCCTTCACTCAACAGGTACGCTACTGCCATCGTGAGATTGTCCCGCTGGCCAATACGCCCCATGGGCGGAATCCGATTAACAACCCCCTCAAGGTCGCTGAACTCCCCATTGATTCCATCAGCAATGTATCCTGGAGAGAGCGTATTGACCCTAATGTTGTGAGGTGCCATTTCAACCCCCAGGGCTTTCCCAAGCAACTTAATTGCTGCCTTCGATGCACCATAGATGGAAACCCGCTGCGATGGCATAGCACAGTGGCCTGCCATGGATGAGATCATGACGATGGAGCCGCCGTTCCCCTGTTCCATCATTTGGCGGGCTGCCAATTGAGCAGAAAAGAATGAACCGATTACCTATGGTGGTTAACCCCCTACTTCTAGGCTACCTGTCATCAACGTAGAGAATGGGAAATCAGCCTTCAGAGCCTTACATTGACATCAAGTATGCGCCGGGATTCCTCCCACCCATATTCTAGGAAGGGTTTGTCCAATGCAAGGCCCGCTGCAGTTACGCTATATCAGGAACAGTCAACAAAATGTCCACGATTCGAGAATCTGGGCTGCATTTACCAGTTGTCGATGTGGCCAAGCTCTTTTGTTGCTGCAGAAAACGCATTCTCCAAGCTCCCCTTTTGCGTTACATCGGTTCTGCCCCGCCTCAATGTCAGCATTTATTCGGTGGCCAATGAAATGATATCGGTCGCAACGGACTTGAAGTGTTTTATGTGAGTGCTGTACTGGCTCTGCAGCTTTTCTATATCCACCTGAGGCTCCATAATGTCGAGAATGGCGACATCACTACCGAGACCAGCCATTGCTTCAACAAGGGCCAATCCAATTCCCCTACTGCCTCCTACAAGAATGTTAACACGATTACAGGCACTTGTTAGGGAAGTCTTTCTGCAGCTTACCTGTGATGACCGTGACTTTTCCATCAAGCGAGAGTTTGGAGGCGATCGACGAACTGAGGTTTACAGATTGCTTTGTTGATATCGAAGAAGCTTCCCGTTTATGACCTGGCCATTTATCGCCATACGGCGTCGTTGCAGCTACTCCAAAACACACTGGAACTCGCGGTACTGCTCTCTGTGGTGCCATTTCATGAGTGGCTCGAATGAGTGGGATTGCACCACACCTCATTTTTGCAAGGAAGGCCATATCGGATTCAAAAATCGGTTTACTTGCTGTGTTTATCTCTTTGTGTGAAATTGAACCCTAAAATCAGTGCTTGTTTTCTACTCTAACAATGGATGCGCAGTGGAGTTCTTAAAGCCCCGTCGTCTACCAGGAGAGCGGACGTAGGACCCGTAGACCTTCCCCGCAAAATATACGGTCTGAGGGGCGAGTGCGATGCCGACTGAACCGTCCTGGATGTCTCCAAATTTCTTCTTAAGCGGACTAACTATAACCATGACATATGTTTTGGGGCTAATTCTTGACTTCAACTGAGGATATTTCCGTAACCTATTAGTCTAAGTTTCTAGCTAATGATGAATTTGCCGTCCTCCATCCAACCTGCGGAAGATGAAAAAGATACAGATGCAACGCCACATTGGAGTGTTTGCGTTATGTGCGGTAAACTATAACCTATAGTTTGGCAATAGGTTTTTGATTACGTGCAAGCGGACTCCATCTCACAGTTAGATGCAACAAAAAAGGGGCTTCATTTGTCTCATTTCTTGGGTATTTTCTCGAACTGCCAGTGATATGGGCAAGCACCTTGGTCTTCGAGGAATCAATTGGAAAACTGCGCTTCACTTGCATCTTGCATCTTGCGCTACGCATAGGTGAGCTGGTTGCCGATATCCGCTATTCTACCCTATCTATCAATTATATCAAACGTGCCAGTTATCGTCTTTGGGTGACATCTCTATTTAGAAATTTGAACCTGAGACTCCAAGTCGTCTGACACCTCAGGTGACTCCGCTAGTGTTCTTCTAGCTTGATATGCGCTGTCCTACATTCAGACCAGAGAGGCCGAGCATGCTGAGATAAAATAACCAGAAGTCCACAGTCTTAGAACCTGGATGAGCTTGGGGCTTTTTGGGCAGGGTCGTTCCTAGCTAGTGGGGAATCTCCGGATCACCCCCGCAAACGCCCTCCACCCCACATTTATCCATCCGTCGCGAGTGGGCCTCGAGGCGTGGGTTTTAGCATACCCGAACTCTTTGGTTTAAGCATACTCCATCAAAGTTGCACGGTCCCCTTGTCACTTCGTTCTTCCGAATTTCCGTCCAAGATGCCCACTGTTGGGCGCGATGACGAAGCCTCTCTGCAGGCTCAGTAGTATAATATTTCGGGCATCGTAAGACAAGTTTGATGGCAGTTTATGATCCTCTCTTTCTGGAAGCGGCGCCTGGTATTCGCTATATCTGGACAATACAAATATGGAAAACTTTCCAAAGTGCAATGCAGATTTGCAATATCATTTTGCAAAAACGTATTCTTTGGTGCAGTTAACTAGATATCTTGTGATTCTTATCATGTCCCTCTTCCAATCGTTAAGGGGATATTACTAATTCTAAAGACGTTTCTGATCAAGGAGGACAGTTTTGTTTGGCCCGGCACTAGAGGATTCAACAATGTCCCGGGGCATATAATGATACGCAAATCAACACGTGGAAAGAAGGCACTAATGTTGGCCATGCCAAAAACTGTTTTGCCTTTGTCAATTGTGGACTTTGGGCCCGACAACAGAGGGAAAAGTCCACTGGCAGAAGGTTGTTCGGCGGTCTACAGCAGTAACCTGACCATTGCTGGAAACAGACCCGCTCCTGAACCACTAGATGGAAAGGGGATCCAAACATTTATCAAATACTATGTTCAAAGGGCAAAAAATGCCATCCACGCCAGATTCGAAGGAGTGGAGATCCACGAAGCCAATGGGTACACGCTTTAATTATCGCCATGAATTACAATTGCGTTCGTGGTTGTTTCCAAGAGATAACTTGCGCCTGAGGGAAAATAAGCAAACGCCTGATAGTACCAGCATACGAATGACATGCGCTGGTTATGGTACGTTTCATATGCTAGGAGCAAAGATTCGGCGCATTGACAGGCATATTGAGTGTTCTCGCTATCCATCTTACCGTACTACCAGAAATAAGATTAATTATAGTACGGACAACTTAGCATTTGATAAGCATAAACTAACCTAGTCGCGGGTTGGAAAGTGTATATGTAGTGGTTTATTGGATAACTTAGATCAAAAGATCCAACCTCTGTCCATTTCTCTTTTTTATTCTGCCAAAATCGTATCCAAAATGAGATCTGATTCAGTCGATGAACCATTTCAGTCACCTGCACCAACCTTTGAGGGTTTAAATTTGAATTATTATTGCGTCTTTTGTTTCCGTAGTCAAAGGCTCGAGTCAAAACGATTACCCTCCAGGGTCTGAAGGATAGATTTCGCTCGCTGACCCTGAACGCTGAGTTTAGACACAAGGAAAGACGGGATTTTTTTATTTTCAAAAGGAATCAACTTGCTAGGCTCCTTGTGACTAGGTACTAGCCCGTCAGCTACTTATCCAGAAATTCCATTCTGCGTGTCGTCGAATATTGTCTCTCCACGTAATTTCCTCCAAACACGCATATCCGACGCGATGCGTGCTCTTTCAGCATGTTTTCACAATAAAAATAGCACTTTAGCCCAATGTTTGAAAGTATAATCTTCTCAAATCGGGAGGCAAAGAGGTTTCTGTGTGAATCCTATCAAAGAATATGGTTCGCATGATTTCTGACATCAGTGCCATCTTTCGTTAAATTTTGGAAATCAAATCAAAAAGCCAATGATAACGTGCAGAATTTTCTAACCAGGGGAAAAAAATAGTCATCTCGCCAGGAGAAACCTCGTGCAGGTCGTATTACGCTGCATACAATATTGAGATCACCTCGACACCGATTTGCTCGTTTCCAAGGCTACCCTTGCTTCGACAATAAAACGAGCTACATTGATAACTACCCCAGATCAGGATCCTAGCTAAAAAGGAATAAAAGTTAGTGGGACCTTGGCTCCACCTTCAAAGACTCGTTGATCAACAAGGAAGCCACCAAAATTTCCGAGTCTCCAATCAGCCATCAAAGATGTTTGTTTTCTGGAACGGTCTCTTAGAACTGAAAACTCTTTCTTCACGTAAATTCAATTGAATGCCCTGTTGATCGATCGCATTCCAGTCCGAAGTGTATTGTAGCCGGAAAGAACCGGGGCAAAGGACAAGGCCCTTTATAGCATTGGCGGGTCTTCGTGGAGTAGCTTCAGCGTAGTGCTTGCGGGTGGGCTCAACTCATGAGAAAGTCAAAATACTCGAGGTGAAGGGAAATCCGCCAATCAACTTATGCTTCTTTTAACATTAAAAGCGTGGATACAAGCCCGGGGGAATGGGATGGTAATGAAAGACATTCATACCTTGGGCCTTTTTCCTTTGTTCCCCAGCAATGGAGACTGGCATGTACTGGTAGGGGATTTCAGAGAAAGTGAACGGGACAAAAAGGGACACAGTAGCATGTAGTCGTCTTATGAATACCTCACTCTTTAATACGCGAGCTGATGCGGCATGCACTTGTTTTTTATATCAATATCTTCTAAATCTTGCAAACTAAGTATTTTCTACCATTTAGCTGGTAAGGTTTTTCTCCATCATTCCAGGGTCTTCATCCAGCAGCTGACAACCTCACTGGTAGTGGTAAACGGTCTCCCCGCGACCCCTGCCGTTATACCTAAATTGAATTTACCTACGAGGACGTGTTTGACTAGCGCACTCATCTGAAATTTGGTCATCTCTCAGATAGAGATTTTGCCGTCATCGAAAGCCACATAAAAATGCCAATATTTGACAGCCTCGAACGGCTGAGAAACTCCCGGATGCGGAAAGCACAGCTAACAAATAGAGAGCTTCAAGATGAGGTGGCAGCTAACTGCCGTCTCAGCAGGCTACCAGCCGATATAAAAATCCATGTCCTCACATTATCAAATATTTCCAGTGTCAGGACTTTGCTGCAATACCTCCCACTCGCGGCGTCAAGTTTTCACCGATTGTTTGACGAGCGTAAACGAGCAATTCTTGCGGCCATAGTCAAGGAGACACTGTCATTGGAATGGAGCATCATATCCGGTAATGAAATATATGTCCCTTTGGCACCACTTAAACTCGAATACTTCAATCAAATCGCGTTAGTGGTCTGCGCGCTTTTCCACGAAAAGAGATTTGAAGAAATGAAGCGAGGAATCGACGACAATGGATGGCTTCGAAATCGATTCGAGCGCCCTAAAACAATGCAAGATCTGAGGGTGAAGATATACAAAGCCGCTAAGGGTAACGCACTCGACCGCTTAAATTGCTCGAGGAAGTGCAAGGAGAGGTCAAAGCCAAAGAGGAGATCATGTTGCAGAAATGGAAATTGGCTTTCGGAAATAAACGAACCGAAAGCTGGATTGTTTCCTGGGTAGAAGGCAATCTGTATAGAGCTTTGCTTATCGAGTGGAAGCTGCAACTCCCCGAAACCGCAATGCCAACTGACGCTATACGTGCCGCAGACACGAACGGCAGAATCCAGCAAACAGATTCAGCGAGCCAAGCAGTACGCTCCCGGTTGACAGACGAAGAATGGATGATTATGATGGATCTAATGGAAGCCAGAGCCTCGTGTGAGAGTCGAAAAATCGAAATTGTCAAGCCTGAGAAACTATCCACGGCCGGGGAAGAAATTTGGGGGATTTTCCTGGATCAGCTAAAAGAAGCTCAACCGAAGCTTATATGCGGTTTGGGAAAGGGCATATCAATTCTTCCTTCCTTTTTGGATACCTCAGGCGACGAACGCGCATATTTAGAGGAAAAATTTCCGCTGATGCAATGAAGAAGCCGGAAGAAAACGCCGCCCTGGTTTGTTGTTTTAGTAGGCGGAAATATAGGTTGCCAACTCGAGACTTGCGGCTTCAATATTCGACCACAATTAGGACCATAGATGTAGATTAGGACCATAGATAACAACTTAAAAAATAGCGCAGTTTATTTAGTGACGATTTGCTCATCCTTTACCGATGATAATAAGTTGTTCACCAGGTAGTTCATTCGTTCGCCGCTTGCAATCAGCCAAGCCCAACCAATTTCATCCAATTTCATTTTATCTTGGGTTTTTTTGACGTCGCTCTGCGCTTTATCAGCTCTAGCCATAATTCCCGTTTCGATTGCATCTCTCAAAGATTGCCGAGCGTTTAACATGCCATTAGAGGCCAGTAGAAGTAGTAAGGTCTCTAGGAGGATCGATATTTTGGCATTTTCGATAGCGTTGTTCGTGTAAGCAGCATATGGAAGATAATATTTCTCTAGGATATCTTGGTTGATGTACGCCTGTTCTGAATTAGAGGGTCGGTGTAGTAAAAGCGAGAGCGCCATCCTGCACAACGTGCTTCGCATGTCATCTGTAAAATTCGACAACATCGGGCATGATACTAGGAGCTGAAACGTAGGGAGGGGTAATGGACGGACAAATTCCACGAAAAGCTGATACAAATGCTCCACTGCCATATAAAATTCTGGCAGAGCATCTGAAACTCGGGATAAGATCTGCATAAGTCGCTGTCGAAGCGCAATGGATGACAGGTCACCTAAGGGTGTCCCTTGGTTATAATATGTGATTCCTGAGGCTTTATACGAAGGATGCATATTGAGCTCTTCGATTGAGTCCGACATTGGAGCTGAAGCCGTAGTTTTTGATCGTTTTAGACGAAGTTGCCTGGTTTTCCTTGTACAAGCAGTGTCATTTTCTTCGTCAATTTCATCCTCGTCTCCTCCAAGGTAGTCTCCATATATATCCTCGTCAATGTTCACATCAGCTTCACGTTTTTTCAAATGATCCTTGCCTTTTTCTGGATCCTTTGATTCGTTGCGGAACACCTCCTTAAACTCGTTCAGCGAAACCTGACTCCCATCTGCAAAGATAGCTCGAACGATCCTTCGATGCTGACCAGACACTCCCGAGGTGCCCGAAATATATTTAAAAATTAAGCTCTGGCGGAGAATATTATTGGAAGGCGAGAGTTTCGCCCCATTTCTTGAGCTATTTTCTCTCTCAGTCCAGTCGTCTTCCAACACATCACACATCAGCTCCAACCAGACCCGCCATCTAGACCACCGCTTGGGGTGGAGAACGGAACAATTGAAAGCCCATCCAACAGCAGACCAGAAATCTTCAGATCGAAACCAGAGAGATCCACGGTGTGCAAGTTCCATGTTGATAAGAGCCGTGTCCGAGTCTGGGCTTGTACCGCTGGTGTCCTCACCATCACCATCTTTGCGACGCGGACCCCCATGGCGTGTGGAGGAGAAGCGCGTAAAAGAAAATGCAATACCAAATTGTGCAGCCAATGGTCCCACCAATTTGTTGGTGAGGCGTAAAAGTTGCAAAGCGGTGTTCGACGCGTTTGCAGCCTCCCGCGATTTTGCTAGAGTGGTGGTGGAGGGATGGACAACCAGAGTTGCTGCGACTGCAAGTTGGTGGGTTGTCGGTACGAAAGCAGGGCCAGACGTGATAGTACTTGACGAGAGCAGGCTTAGGAGGAGATGGAGAGCTTGATGGTCTACAAAGCGCGGATCTTTTATTAGTTACTCACCATTGGGGGGAACGGGGGAACGGGGGGAAGCTTACACAATTTTTCTTCAAAGTAAATGTTGCAATGTCTGGCTAATTCGAAAGGAAGAGGCTTCGCATGCCGGTATCCCGGGGCCTTGGGTTGATTCGGGGCTTTTTGGGACTCCATGGTCTGGATGATCGAGTGTAATTGTGGGAGTCCGAGAAGAACACGCGCGCGGGTAAAGTTGACTGGTTTCGTTTTAAGTTATTGCTATTTTACAGGCTAGAAACCATATCTTATCAGAGTTCCCTCATCAAAGGCCACAATCGTTGCGAAATCGTATCCTTTTCAATAAACGTTATTTCCAGCAGATACTCTCTAATCTCTACCTCCAGAAAACGGCTTCATTTACTCCTGCTATTTAGATTCATGCTCCCCACCCGCGTCATGTCAGCAGCAGTCAGCTCATCCCTGCGACCATGGAGGTTTGCGCCGCTTCGGCCTGATGCAAGTAATGAAGGCAACAAGGCCACTTTGAAGGGTGTTGTGTTTGATGTCGACGGGACATTATGGTACTTGATCAATTGCCCTCCCGTTTTATTATTCATGAATATCTATCCCGTAAATCCCAAAATTCAAACAGGAATGCGGGAGGGCCTGGTGGCATCAAATCGCCATGTACAGATCTGTAGACTCTCATAGAATGAATACTGATGAACATCACTAGTCTACCGCAAAACTATATGTTCCAAGAGATGCGGTATGTTTTCCTTATTCCTTTTTTTCCCAGGAACATAAAGAAATGGGAGTATCAACAGCTCTCCAGCTGACAGGCGACGATTCAAGCTCCGCGCTCGGGATTGATAAGTCCGTTGATATCATTGGGCATATCCGCAGCCTGCCAACGCAAGAAGATCGCACCGCAGCTATCACAAGAATTAGAAACATCGAACGGGAAGCTATGGTCAAGCAAGTTCCTCAGCCTGGTCTTCTAGAATTGATGGATTATCTGCAGTCAAAGGCATTGAAGCGGGCGTTATGTACCCGGAATTTCGAGTTCGTTACCGGCATCCCTGACCACCAGTAAACGCCTTGCTAGTCTTGCATGGTATGATTTATGATTTGACGATTGGAACTCTTTCACAGAACACCCGTAAACCACCTTCTAGCAACGCACCTCCCAACACATGAGTTTCTCCCAATCATAACCCGCGATACTCCAGACATCCTCCCAAAGCCAGATCCGGCAGGGATTTTACATATAGCCAAAGAATGGGGCACTAAACCAGAAGATTTGATCATGGTATGTAACTATACGAACTTAATTTCTGAGAAAATGGCAGCTCTTTCCCCGGCCCTTCATCCTTTATATACCATGAAGAAACATACACCTACCAAACGACATCACCATCATCATCGTCATCTTCCAGGTTGAAATAATGGAAGAAGCGCGTAGCTTAAAAATGCGGTAACAATATCTAGGTCGGTGACAGCCTTGACGACATGACAGCAGGCCACCTAGCAGGCGCTGCCACGATCCTGTTACTAAATGATCACAATCGAGCCTTGAAGGAGCATGAACATACGCATATATGGGTTAAGCGCCTAGACGACATAATTTCCATCTTGGAGGATGGCGTCGCGGATCCTGCAGAGAATCCCAAAGATGATGATGATGAGTGGGTCAATGAACAGTGATAAACGTGTGGTTATAGATGCGATATATATATTTTTAGATTAGAGATAATAATCCCTGGATATAATTTCGTGATATATTATTTATATCCTTATTTCTAGTGATATTATTACTTAGTATATACATATTCCCCAGTATTCGAACACAAAACCCGGATGGTTGTTGTCCAGTAGGTACCCCAACGGAAGGAAATAGAATGGGCGTCTAATTTATGCAAACACGCCACGGCACATTCAGCAAAACGTCAAGACAGTATTTATATCCTTCGAGGTAGTTTTCAGGGTCTATGGCGGTCCCACTCTTTCTGAGCCGCGCTGGGCCTAGGTCGGTATGTTTCCCGATTTAAACCCCCCTTGGCCCCTCTGCTACGACCTCGGGGACCACCACCGCCGCCACCGCCGCCTTTGCCCCTAGGTTGCCGACTACTTGCCCCGTTACTTTTATGGATTGGAAGTCGGGTAGGCGACAAAGAGCGTTGGCGGGTATTGTTACCGAAATATTGATCTCGTTCTCTATATCCGCGGTGGTAATCGTTGGGATTATGGGGCGCGTTTCCTGAACCTTGAGGGCGACGTGTATCATCATCAAGAAATCTGCCACGTCCAATTCCACTGCTAAAGCGAATGCGTCTATGTGGGGGTGAACGGTTTATCCTTGGGGTCCAACTATCTGGTCGCCCGAAACCTCCATCACTCTCGACAGATGATGATCGGGCGCTCGCACGGCCTCTGATCCTGTAATCAGGGTTATTCTGATTATTATTTCCCTTGCCAGAAATAGCAACAGGGAAAGTGTTCAGGTTGGAAGTCATTGCTGGGTCAAAATGTTTAAGGCTGAAGGATGAGGAGTTCAGCGGGAAGGTGCGTGTAGGGCAATCTCCGATCAAATGTCGACTGCTTGTGCAGTGACAGCAAGATATGGAAACAAATATGCGGCCTGAGGTTGGGTTTCGCTTGGGGAGCTTCCATATCAAGTCACACTCGCACTCAGTATGGTCACTGGAACCACAAAAATCACAGGGGTCTTCGACAGCTGAACTTTTCAAAGCAGAGGTGCAAGCCTTTGCGTCATGACCCCGTTCCCTGCAACGTTGGCATCTTCGCTGGGAAGGACAAAATCGACTCTCGTGAACATCCCATGCTCCGCAATGTTCACACTGCGTCCAATGTCAGAAATGATCGAGAGCTGCTTCTCCTGGGAGAAGCGAAATGGAATCACACCGCCCAAGATAGACACAGAGTGCCAAAGGGATAACATACCTCCTTCCTAGGACAAACGTCCGCAAGATGGCCTTCCTTCATACAATCAATACACGTTATGGGTAGACTGAGGTCAACATTCTCTAGTGGCAAATCGAAAAACCTATACCTAGCTTGAGTCTCGAAATCATTACGAGTGAGATCAGCGAGGGTGGTAGGATCTGAATGGTACTTTGCGCGGAACAAACGAATTGCCTCCGCCTTTGGGCCTTCAGACATGGCCCTCCCAGTATCAATGTCAGGATAAACCTGATTTTGTGGTATTTCGTCACCAACTTGTATGGGGGGTTTCGAGCCGTTTTGTACGCTAAGTTCCTCTCCATTAAATTCCCCAACTTGCAATTGGCCGTCATTTCTGAAAGCAATTTCATCTTTCCGACCATGTAGCTTTTCAGTGGCTGGAACCCCATCATCTATTTGAGGAGGACCAGTCAAGTTAAGAACAATATCATTGTTTCCATCCGTGTCCTGTTCAGAATCCGTATCGGAAAACTCCGCAGAGAAGGTCGTTGGACCTAAACTTGTTCCGATATGAGGTTTACTTTGAGAAGCATCCGTTTCGGAATGGCTTTGCCGTTGGCCTTGCAATCGGGGATGATGTCCACCGGTATCACTCCCTGTAGACGAAAGAGACGCACCCCGACTGCGCCAGTAATTCCCATTAATAGCCTCAAATGAAGCTGCTGCAGCGGAACCAGCCGTATCCGCTTGGCGCCGCCCACGAAGAGCCGTTCTAACGGTACCATTACCAAGTTTGTTCCAATTCATTGCCGGTGCCATTCCTCGCGACGCAGGAGGAGAGACAGATGATGGGGCGAGGTCTGTAGTTGTGCTTTCACCGCGATTATCCTCCATGGCAGTATCGGGACCCGAACTAGACTCGCAATCAACTGTAAGGGATGAAGCAGTAAATGAAGCGCCCTTAGGGACAAAGTTCTGAAGGTCACGACGACCTAACGTATGATCCTTTCTGGAACACTGCCTGCCAGAATTCCCAGTTGAGGATGAATTTTGAGACTCGGAGAATGCGTGCTTGCGGCGGGCCTTCAATAAACCAACAGAAGCTGTGCGCGAGTCGCAATCATCATCAGACATGTTCTTGCAGCAGGTTGGGCGGGGGAAGCCCCAAGCTTCCAGGGTTGGAATTGGATTTAGATCAGCCTGGATAGCTATAGATACAGCGTATGGCAGCCGTGACAACCCCCGGGCTACGTCGCCCAATTGAAAAACGGAAGCCTGAACTCGGGATTTTGTATACAGTGGTTAAATGACTTTTCTGGCCAGGAACGAAAACTCGGAAACCGCGAAAATCCAGGCCACATGACTTGGCGATATTACATAATGGGTCGATTGGCTTGGCACAACGGCAGGAGGCTGTCGGTGTAATGTTTTTCCGCTAGTCAGATGACGAAGCCTGGCTCTGGGCCGCATTCGGTGCTTCATCAGCTTCAACCGTGGACGATTGACTCTCCGTAAACATCTATCTGTCTATCTGTTGAAGTCCAAGTCGAGTGTTCTTCGTCCATGTCCGCCATCGTTTCCACCGTCTACCGGCTGCAGCACCACTCCTCTCCGATAATGACTTCCTAGGCCTTCTTTCGTGCTGTGCTGTGCTTCCAAGCCTGTTTGGTCTGCTATTGCGTTTCTCTCGGAAGTGCTCGATCCCCGTTTCTGGTGGCAGTTCCGTACACCGCGCGCTGCGCTCCTCCTCTTCCTCCCACAAGTTCAGCTCCCGCTTCTCCCACCTCTCCAAATATTCTTTGACCGGCTTGCGGAGCTCTTGGTGGCCGTCCTCGATTCGTATTATAGAAAACCCGTATTATTACACCAAAGTCCAGACAAGTTCCTATATATTCCAAGGCAGCAGCACCATATAGCAGTTCCTTCTACAAAACTTGATAGTTGTAATATTCCTTGTATATTCCTATCCTCTCTTCGCATGCATTCTTGACCCATATTTTTGCAACCGGCTCAACACAATACCGCCAAACTGTCTTCACTTCTAGTTCCCCGGACTGTCTCCTTTTCCCCCGATCTCGACTCCGGCAACAGACCTGATTCCACAATGAGCGAGACCAAAACGGGGCGGAGGAGACGGTCAAGTAGCATCATCTACCAGGAGCCTCCAGAGTCGATAGAGCATACCAGTGATCAGGCTGCCCTACCTAACCTAAATGCCAATTGGGTTAATGCGAAAGGTGAGAAATTTCATCTTTACTTCCTGAATAACCGAGATTTCTGGTTTTGGATCGGAGTAGCTGGAGAGAGTTAGCCAGTGACGTGAAGGAAGACATGACCTATTTTTCACGCTGTAACTTATAAACCACAAACTTACTCAAAAGTTCCTTCCTAGGTGCATGGACTATCCATTTCGTATTAATCATCGCTCTTAAGATTTTCTACGACATCATCCCAGGCGTATCACAAGAGACTTCATGGACGCTCACCAATATCAGTTATATGTTTGGTTCGTTTCTCATGTTTCATTGGGTTCGAGGAGTACCGTTCGAATTCAACGCCGGGGCATATGACAACCTAAATATGTGGGAGCAAATCGATAATGGAGACCAGTATACACCAGCAAAAAAGTTCCTTCTCAGCGTCCCGATTATCCTCTTCCTACTCAGCACCCCCTACACCCACTATGACCTGACCTACTTCATAATAAACTTCTTGGCAGTCCTGGGAGTAGTCATTCCGAAATTACCAATCGTAAGTTAAATTCGGCTGACAAAACCTACCCAAAAATAGACGCCTAGACTAACAGCTCCCCTCCTTCAGTCTCACCGAATGCGGATAGGCCTGTTTTCAGAGCATAGTGATGACCCTTGAGGGCAAGATTACGGCGTCTTAAGAAAAGGGCGAAAAGAAATCAAATTGAAGAATGAAGAAAATTCTCAACGTTGGCCCGGTTACTTTTCCTTTTTGCTATCTCCGCCTCTTTTTTAACCACAAAAGTATATTGTCCGTCACTGGCTTCCACGGCTGTGTAAAGCGTCCCATTTTATTAGATTCAAATTAAACAATTGTTTGATTTTTTTCTTTTCTCCTCTTCTCTTCTTCTTCTTCCTTTTTTTTTTTTTTTTTTTTTTTTTTTTTTTTTTTTGGATAGGTTGGTCTCTGGATTTGTAGCGATTTCTCAGGAACAATCATCTGTTTTACTACTACTTTTGTCTTTCTTACGAATGTCTGAGGTCATTCCCCGAAGGAGTCCCCCTTATTTCTTGTTCTTTTTTCTTTTCTTTCTTTCTTTCTTTCTTTTTTTTTTTTTTTTTTTTTTTTTTTTTTTTTTTTGAGTAGGAAATGGAAATCAACAAGGAAGGGAGAGGAGGGGGAGCCGTACTTATTGGGACGAGCTGTTGAATTGTGTCTGGAAAGGGACTCCGAAACAGATACCCACACGTTATTATCGTACCTACTTCGCAAGCTGTTCGGAGCTTTTGGGCGTTTGATGTCCGGGCTTTGCAGAGTTTACATAGCTCTTCCTTTTCATAAATAGGGAATTTTTCTTTTTCTTTTTTTCTTCAAAGAAGGCCGAGTTAAATAAGAGGAAAGTACTATACACTCTCTTGCATCAGTTTCCGCGACACCATCTATCTCATTCTGCTCTTGTTTTCATGGCAATTCTATACCTTTTCGCGTATCGGGGAATGTTTGACATTGATGGTACGCAATATTATGTTGAAGAGTTTAAGTGGATTAGCAGACTTTGTCTCATTTTTCTATTTCCGCATGAAAAATTTCCCAAGATCAACTAGGGAAGTCTAAGGTCATCGATAAAATCTGAGAAAATGACAAGAGGATAGGACACAGGATTGGGAAATTGAAGAGAGAGAAATGACAAAATGGTAACGGAGGGGTCATTTAACAATTGGGTTTAGCAAATGATGGTCAATGGGACAAGTTAGAGAAATGTGATCAAATGAGATGTTCATATCAAGACAATAAGGTAATGATTGCAGAGAATTCACGAAATATCGCAAAACGCAGGAAAAACAAAAAGGGGAAGTTACATGGCGAAATATAACAAGAGCAATAATAGAAAAGGGAATTTTCGAGCCTGGATCATTTCCGTACCGCCATTGATATCAAGCATTAGGTAAATGAAAGCAGCAGTAACACCGCATGGAACACCATTGTCGCTATAAAAAATTGAAAACAAAAACCCAGACTGCAAAACAAACAACCCAGGGTCCCGGGTGAAGCCAGCCGTTTAGAGATCGGCTTGAAAAGGAGAAAAATGGATAGGTAAAATATGTAAACCGAGATCATCGTTTAATAGTAATCGTTATCAATTTGTTGCGAGGTTCCTCTATTTTAGTGTCGCTTAGGGTATCCAGAGCTGCTGATAGGGCGCGGGCCCGTGGGCTTTCGCTGAGGAGCGTTGTTCTTAGGTGACGACCTAATAGGTGATCCATTGGCCTATATAACAAGAGATGCACTGTCAGCTGCTTAATAGTTCACAAATCGGGGCGAGTAATCAATATCTGCGACATACAGGATCGTAGTTTGAGTGGCGCGAACCACGAGAAGCCATACGTTCTGCATATGTGAGCTGTCCATCCCTTTTTCCTTGCGGCGGTCTTTGGGGAACTAAGGGTCCTTCATCTTTGATCTTTGGAGGGCGTTGAGGGGCATTTCGTCTGCCAGAAGTTGATGACTTATCGGAATATCCACCATCCGAACCAGACGCTTTTCTATTCGGGGTCATCCGTCCCAGGCTAGCATTGGATGCCCAGCCATCGGAGTTGAGAACTACTGGGGGTATAAAGGTTTGTGCTTGCGATTCCAGCTGGGATTGGTAACGATCTGTGGGTCCCTGGCGCGGTTGTGGATGCTGCAGATTCAGACTATCCCTATGCGCCTGGTATTTCGGATATTCTGAAAGCTGCGATGGTACCAGAGGGGAAGGGGGACGGTTCTCCTGCCGTTGGTCTAAACTAATATTTGACCGTAATCTGTCGTCGCCGTGTGGGTCGTAATAGTCATTAGTATTATATCCATCCTGTTCCAAATCCGAACCAGATCGGGAAATCTCTGAGGAGTATCGGTCCTTGCGGCTAGTTTGGATGCTATTGCGGATGTTTTCGCCCATTGACGAAGCAGTTGTTTTCGACCACCGGGAAATTTTTGGGAAAAACGACGAACTGCTTGATTTGTGTTTTCGAGACTTGTCGTTGGACATTTTAGGGGTCGTGTCTGTGCTCAGCGCCCCAGATGCGAGAGGAACTCGTGGAGGAGTGCCCAGAGGAGCAGAGCCGCCCCTTTTAGGGTGGCCCATGAGCTGAGCGTCAGTAGCTGCTTGCTGGTCCAGCAAATCTTGCTCATCGGCTGTTAATGGCTCCAAGCCTTCGTCACCCTCCATGACTGGACTGATTCGGTGGTCCGATCCACGCCGATTGCTTGCAGCTTTCATATCTCCAGCCAAGCGAGGGGAATTCGAAAAGCCAGACTTGTCGCCCCCTCCTGTTGACGAAGTGCCAGTTTGACCTTCAGGCTCATATCCATCTTGACCAGGTTCATGGAAATTTTCTTTGGAGTTGGCAACTCCAGTGCCCAGGCTCCGGCCCTCTTGAGAGGCTCTTAAAGCCTCCACTTCGAGGAGTAGATGAACAAGCATGTCTTCGACCCTGGTGAGATCATTCGACCCTTTGAGACTCAAACCCTTCAACGCCCGTTTAAAAACGCCTTTTCTCTTTGATCGCTCAACATCTTCGTCGGCAGTAGTGTGACGGGGGGTTCGTGCAATGCCAAGCGGCTGAGGTCGAGGTCCACCAACGACCTTTTGAGTACGATCATGTTGTTTTACATTCGCATCTATCATCATTTCATCTTGCTGGGCAATGAATTTTTTCATGTTCTCGAAGGAATTACGCATTTCCGCTGCACTCCGCACAAGAGTCACCAGGATTTCTGTATCTCGAGCATTTCGCTGGGCGTCACGAACGGTGAGCTAGTTCAAGAGTCAGCACCAGAAGCATAGAACCGGGAAAATATAAAACACATAAACCGGTATACACACATGATCCATTAGTGCCACTATGTCCTTCGACTGAATCCTATCAATTCCATGACCGGTAGAACTGTCGTAAAGAGGGGAGGCCATGCCATGGGAATAGCCACTCAAATGTCGTTTATGTGTTTCAGTGAAGGGGTCATCGCTGCCTGGTAAAAGAGTAAGTTCTAGGGTCTTACTATCAACGGATTCGAGTACCTTACCTCTGGGATCAGACATGGCAAGACTTGGCGAGCGAGGGTTTGCACCCGATATGTAACCTTCATCCTTTACTCCCAGTGGAGTTAACAAATGGTCTGCATATAAATCTCTCGTTCGCCCTTGGTCAACCTTATCAGAAGGATATGCATCTCCATAACCAGTCCCGTAAAATGGGTCGTTAAAATTGGTGTTGGAATAGGGCGGGCCGTGATCTACGCTGGGGATAGGGCTTGCAGGATCCGTGAGAGGCCCTTGGGGTTCAATTTCATCAATGTTAGGTTCTACATGAATGGCATTTCCTTTAGATCGTGGGGGTGTCGGATTGTAGGGCCAATGATCTCTGTTTTCGTGAGGGACCCCACCAATAGGGCCTTGGATGATTGAAGGATTTGTATTTATCTCCGACTCTTCGGAATCAGGGATATGACCGATTTCTGGAATTGGGCTTCCAGCTCCAGGCAATGCTGATGCT